TCCAGCCATATTTAGTTATATATATATATATAAAAGAATTGTATAACGTATCAGGCGGTAATTGTACTTGAAAAGGTTAATTATAAGGTATTGTACATGTATAATGGTGAATTGGTGATATAAATTTTATTTTCTTATCGTTAGTAAATGATTGAAACATGTCATTAAAATAAATGTAGATTCCTGTGGAATCACCGATACCGTACGATTTCATAAAGACTGGATTTATTATATATCATTTCCTCTCCTCTGCTACTATGGATGGACGTAATCCCTACCTTGTTGAGTTTTCAAGTGGAAGTCTTTAATTAACTAATTAAAAAGGAAGTCGTAGTACTTACGCTTAATTATTTGTTTTTATATATATATATATGATGGCTACTTCGTGCACTCGCTTTTTTGGGTGCATTGAATGCGCCAAACTCTGAAGTTAGGTATAGACATTAGATTTTGAATTTTAATTGTAAGCATTAGTATAATATGATGATATAATAAATTATCACAACTAATCAATCAATTATCTTAACCCCTAAACCTTCAATTTTAAACACTAACCCAAAATCCCAAAATGTGAACTCTAACCCAAACCCTAAATCCATAAATCTTAAATCCTTCAAATCAAAGTAAATATTTATTGATTTTTTTTTTGTAAATTCATGGGGTTTCATGTCTATCATATCAAAAGTAATGATGGATATCGTTTTGACATGAATCGCCTATTCAAAATGACAATCATGAAGCGGGTGCACTGAATGCAAAAAAAAAAAAAAAGTGAGTGCACCGAAAACAATACCATATATATAAGGGAATCAACTAGTAGCAGTAGGTCTCTTTCTGCTGATTAATAATTAACGGCTGTAATTAATTATTCTCGAGGGTCAAATCATTCGTTTAAGGAATTTTTACTTTATTGAATGATTCCTATTCTATTGAATGATTAGAGGGCCAAATCACCGTTTTCAACTCAATCACGTTGGCCACTAAGTTGGATTCTCTGCATTTAAGCAAACCTTCATTTGTTTAATTATATGAGTGAATGTGACCCTCCTATTCTATATCTGACGATTTCACCGTCCGTACAATTTATAATTAAGAGATAATAATGGCAGTCCAATTATTTTCATAAAAAAATTATACTTAAAAATATGTGGTAGTTTATTTGAACTAATGTAATTCTCCCCACGTCTACCCAATTATTTTGAGAGTGTTAAATTCCTTACATTATTCGCATAATCAGAAAAGGAGATTCCAAAAGGTCGTAACATGTAAATTGATTACGGGTGAGGAATTTTAACACATTAATTTGATTCAATGGTCTCGTTTTGATATAATTGGGCCAAATTAACACATTTGACGGTATAAAATTTGGATGAAACAATTTGGCTTGGAAATTTTGAATTGACTCGTTTTGAGACATTTTTAATTGTCCGGGGTGGGGACAGATAATTTGAATTGACTCATTTTATAAAATGAGATAATTGACCAAATTATCTCATTTTTCAAGTGATTCATCCAAACGACCCCTACGCGTAGAAAATCACCAAACCTAACCTTAAATGTTACAGTGACACTACTAGCCCATTGGAAAAAATGAACAAGAAATTAAAACCTAGTCCTTCATGGACAAGTCAATTTTCCCTTTAACTCCGTCAGTCCAGTGGCGGACCTAAGGCAAGGGAGGGTGTGTTGTCCGACACACCCTCGCTCGAGAATTTCACGAAGGATCTACATATTTTTGGTACAAATTTTTTTATTTTGGGATAGCCGACACACCTTCAGTAATTATAGCCGACACACCTTCATTATACTCGAAGAATTTATTATCCAAATGAATCAATCTTAATTATAATCATTTTCAATTTTGTTTAAAATAACTCATAAATTATAACCCTATAAATTCCTATTAAAAAAAATCTCAGTTCATACAATATACATGTGTGATGTGTGTTGGCATGTGCCTATAATTAAAAGAGAGAAAAAACCACAGGCCTAATGCCCAATAGCCCAAGAGGCCACTAACTCCCCATCATTACCTGTTACAACTGCAAGCTGCGAAAGAACATTTTTAGTTATGAAGATAATCAAGAACGATCTTCGAAATCGGTTGAGTGACCAATTTATGAATGATTGTTTAGTTGTGTATATTGAAAAATATTTGCTTTGCAGAATAAGTGATGAATGTATTTTAGAGACATTTCAGCAGATGAAAAGTGGTTGCGGTTTGTTGTAAATATGACATTGTGAACTTTATGAATTAATTTCTTTTAATTTCTACTTAATACTTTAATTTAATTATTATTGTATTTTATCGGCGACACACCTCTCCGACAATCCTGGGTCCGCCACTATCCATCACCATCTTCATTTAGATCTTTGATAATCGAAATCCAAATCAAACCAAGCGAAACGATGATATTTATATGAATATCTAAATATGTTATGAATATTTACATCTATCTAACGCAACAAATTATATTTATCGAATTTGCTAATAACCGCAACATTTAGTATGTACCTAAACATTTTATATGAATTAAATTAATATTTTACTAAAAAAAATTACAAATGGAGAGGTCAAATCATGTGAAAAGTAGGTTCACGTGATGACACCTAAGAAGGTACATAATCTTTAATGTCCAAACAAGTGAATATATTCTGACAGTGTAAGCTTTTTCCTGCTCATGAATCTTTCCTAAGCACAAAGTCACACGCCATCAACGAAAGTTGGTTGGCTTTCATTCATTCTTCACACCACCAGCTGGGTTTGGTTACCATTTGGCAAACTCGTTCGTGTTTTGCTCGAGTCAATTAGTTAGTTTCACAACTGAATCCCCTCCCCAACCCCAAGTCTCAACGAACTCCATTTCCTACCTATGCAAATGGTCCAAACCAATGGCGCATATTCTTTCATACTTTGCACCATACGTTGCAAGTTCAACGTTTGTAGATATGGATGCAGTTGCAGATGGATTACAGGTTGAAGCACGAACCGAACTGATTCTGCTAACACTAGTTTACCAAAAGATGTCATGTCTGATCAGTTACTGCCTCGACGAGCACCTATAATCCACGAAAAGAAGCCATGTTCAATCAGTTTTCAATTCGACGAGCACCTACAATCCAGCAAATGTGATGTCACTGAGATCTCAGCCTCCACAGGCGACGAGGGTAATACCCGCCTTGCACGATTAGCAGAACATAGTAACATTTCGAAAGCAACATCCATTCATCGAGAAGGTTTATCCACACAAAACATGTGATTCCCATTATGACAGAATCCCAGCCTGGAAGTTCAAGGCAAGCGGTACACAACGGAGATATGAGAGGAATGATTGTGTGGATATATAGTCAAGGGCCAAGAGAAGCAAAAAAAAACATTAACAACTTCAAATCGTAAAGGATTGCATTCCTTCAGTGTCCAGCATTGATCTCCCAGCAATGTGGCTCATCTGCAAGAGAAATAAAGTAACAAGGACTTAAGTTTCTCTGGTTCAGAAATTAGAACGAGGTCTGATTCCCTGAGTTAATAACTTCACATGCATTGTCATTCAGATAGGAGAAAAAGAACACAAGTTTCCCACTCAATGCAACATTTTTTTTTAATATGTGGCAACATTCATACAGATTAAGGCGAGCAAGGGTTTAAGCCTAGTGGTAATACTTCTAGTCTTGAACCTGGAGGTCCCAGCCTCACAGGTTAGAATCACTTCAGTAAGACCTAACTATAAATATGAACTTATGTCATCCTTATAAAACAACATTCATACTAAATAACCATATGCACAAAAGTAGCTAGCTTGTGCCACCCTCATGCAGGCATCAGAAGGAAAGAAAAGAGAGACTGGAAATTTTGAAGAACGCGACCAATCGCATGCTAACATGAAGAATTGCAGAAGCATTCTTTTCTCAGGCACGAAACAGAATCAGGAGAAATCTCTTAGCCAAAGCAAAAGAAAACACGATGTTCGTAATGGGGGCTCATGACCAATAACCTGCCCCCTTTTGATGCCTGACTAGCTCAATAAAAATTCGATTTAGATATGATAATAATCCACACTCCTGTTTGAGGATGTACCTTCTTTTCTGTTTCAGAAAAGATGGGAATTGCATTTTTCCGAGGCATAATTAAATTGTACATCTTAATCAACTGGGTTACTTGGCTTGGACTAAAGTGCACAAATAAAATTGGGTTGACCACTAATGTGCAGACCACATTCTTATAACATCTACAAGAAAATGCAGAACAGCACTATTATATTTCTATGTGAAACCAAAATCTGGGTAACTTTTTGTTTTTTTTGTTTCTTCATCTTCTAACAACAAGGAGCTCAAAGACGGCAAGGACAATACAAACAAGTTACAGAGTATCTACCCTTTCATAGCACAAAATCCCTATATGAAGCATTCAAATGAGCCTGACTTTTTTCTAGTTGAAAAGTTGACTGGGTAGAGTCATCTATTGGTGTGCCCACAATGCACAATGTTTCATGTTTTAGAAATATGCATAACATCATCATCCATTAGTAGTTCTTAGGTTAACATGTTTACATAACATGGATGCTTTATTTATCCTCCTCGAGCATGAATAGAGATTTCTGAATCTAAATACATTCTTTTAACATTGGTCTTCACAATTAACTAATTAAGCAGACATTTATCTTTACTTGCCCTTCCACCAACTGTGATAAGTCTAAGAGCGATTGTGAACTCTTGCTATCAATTCTAAAAGAAACCAAAAAACTTTCCACAATCAACAGACTAACTCAATACATACAGGATGACGATTAATGATTCGATTAGCCACACATTAAACAAAATAAACAGCATGATCCACCACCACTAAGACAAGTTTACGTCAAAACTAACAATTGGCTTGCTAGTCATGATCACTGTCTGGTTTCGATTCCAACATAATACCCAAATACATAAATACTCATGGAGACTTTACGGCCATAATTATTCACATCCAAATATCACCTCAAAATCTCTATCATAAGCCTAGTGTTGTCAACAAATTCTTCAGAGCATGTTCATTGAGCTCATTCAAATTGGACAGTCGAATTTTAGAAGAGAACCTAGGAGTAATTCAAATTGGCTAAAGATGAATTTCCTTTCTTTTCACATAAGGTTACACTACCACATTAACCCATTCCGCACTTCCACCGAACAAACACTTCAAGCGACTCCACTGCTGAAACAACATTTCAAACTACAAACCAGAATCACCCAACCAAACTATCAAAATGAGCTCACTTTTCTCACACAACTCAAATTCAGAAATTGTTCTACCACTAAAGAAACAACATTTCCCCAAAGCACAGTTACCCATATCATCAGAACTCAACAGGGGAAATAGTCGAATTGAAAAAGAGAAATTCAGAATACAAAGGCCAAAAGATTACCTTGAGACCAAGCAACCCTTTTACTCCTCTGACTCCACGGCTTCCACCTTGGGACCTAATCCAGAAATGAAAAGACGAAGCCAGGAAAATTCAATTCAAGGAAACGAAATAAACCGCAGGAAATCAGAATCTCAAAATCCCAAACAACAAAGATCGGAGGGATAGAGAGAGAGAGGGGTCAAACCGTGAAAAGAATGAGGGCGATGGTCCTTTCCCCAGCCGATACCACGAGTAGACTCGAGGTACTGCTCGACGAGGTGGCGGCATTTCTGGTGGTGGTTGACACCTTCGACGCGATAGCACCAGCGGAGCCTCTCCCTCAGAATCTTGGCCTTCTCAATGGCGATCCACTTCTCCCTCACGATGTGCTCCCTCATCTCCAGCATCGCCACCGGGTCCTTGTACGGATTGGACGGATCGAAGTCATCCGGCGGCGATTCCTCGAACTCGGCAACGCCCTTCTTCCTCCCCATGGTCTCTTTGCCTTCAGTCAATCTTTCCTTGCGCGGTGAAGGTTGATGATCTCGCTCGCTCCGTTAGCTTTGCGCTTCTGGTCGCAGCGGGTGAACTCTCTCTGATAATCTCTCTCTCTCTTCGCTACTCCGGTGGCTGATGTTCTCCAAGTTGGGGACGTTGGGCTTTCTAGATATTAGATATATGGGCTTTTGCGGTCTTCCAGTCCATAAGTTGCTAGCCTGATTGGGAGTTGTCTAAGGCTCAAATTGGAAGTCATACTGGGCTCCAATCCATCATGGGTCTGTTTTCTTGATGCTAAGCTAGGCTCCAATCCACCATGGAGCTAGTTTTTTTTTTCCCTGTGATTTTTCTGTCAAATGGTTAAAATGGCATATCAGCAAGGTTGTCAAACCGCGGGTCGACCCGGACCCGGATGAGCTAGTGGGTCATGGGTCAATGGGTCACCCGTTTTAGCCCAGTTTAGCCCGGTTTAGCCCGGAAATATGGAAAATGTAATTATATTATACTTATCCTGAATCCAACATAAAAAAATGCAACACTACTTCAACTCCAACACACTTAAATAACATCAACTTAAATTCAACATAGTAAAAATTCAACAACACTTAAATCATTCACAAAACATCACATATATCTTTCGTTCCATTTATTGGAACCAAGTCCCAAACCCTTACCAAATGACTATGACTCAGGGAACTAAAGGTAATGGAGAGGCTCGGGTCGCAAATAATGGAAAAGAGCAACCCGCTGACCCGCTCCAACGGGCTAACCGGCCGGGTCAACCCGGGTTTGACCGGGTTTCTCCGGGTTTGACTATTTCCGGGCTGACTTGAAAATGGGTTGGTATGACCCGTTTTTTTGGCCGGGTCCGGGTTAATCCGGGTCGACCCGCGGGTCGACCCGCGGGTTGACAACCTTGCATATCAGTTTAGGGATGGAGGTTAGTTCTTTCATTTGACAATTGCCTATAGACATCCTCTTTAGGCCCCGTTCATTTCTTATTTTTTATTTTTGTTTACTGTTGCCACAACAAAATTTTGAAAAAAATGAAGAAGGTAAAATGTATTTACTTTGATTTTTTCATTTGTGACAATTAATTGGAAGAAAAAAAGCGTCGTCTGAAGAAAAAAAAAGTGGGTTCCAAAAAATCAAAGGAGGGGTTTTCTCCATTTTTTCGTCTTTCGCGGAAGCCTTTAATGAGGTTGGTCTTCGAGACCTGGTGACCTCATTTTTTCTTTTTTTATTTTTACGTTTAACCCTAAGACTCCCCAACCCCTCCCCTTCGAAACCCTACACTCGACCTCACTTCTCTCCACCTCCAACAACTGCCTTCCTCTAGCCTCTCCAGATTAACTCCCCAAATCGGCAATCCCTTCCGCCGCTTCTTCTCCCAAGCAACCCCCGCCGCTAACCGAGAGTCCCCACTGCTGCATTTTCTCCTGGCCGCTACATCTTCTATCAGAGAATGAATCCTCAAAGGCTTCATATACTAAACTATATTTATTTATTAATCATATTGATGAGGTGGAATGCTGACTCGATAAATCTAACATAAATTTGGATGAAAAATGACGGAATGTTCATTTTGATATCCACTCAAAAATATGTTGTCGAATCCCTACAAATTAAAGGCTCGTGATCATTTTGTACTAAGTGTAATGATTTGTGACCGTTTATAATAATTATCCCAACTTAATAAATAGATCGACCCACTAGTACATTGTGCTCGACCCGATGACTGAACCGATCAACCGACCTATGTTGATTCCCTGTTCTAAATGGTTCACAAAATATGTAATTTTACCCTAGCACTTCAACGGGGGACAAATGTAGCCATTGACCATACAGGCAACATGCATTTGATGGGTTTGAGAAAGTTTTGTTTCACTAGTGACATAAAAAAATACACTAATTACGCCGTATAACATTGAGAGGATACGTATAGCAATACATGTATTGGAGATGTAGCACGAATACCGGAAGCCATTCGTATACAATCGTAGAGCGTAGATGACGGGAGAGTAGTTTAGATGCATACAGAATTCTCTGTTTCTTCCTAAGTTCCCGCCCTCTTTCTCTTTCCCTATCCCTTCTTCCGCCTTTCCATTGATTGATTACACACAATAGAAAATTATCAGAGAAACCAATCCTCACAAAGTCAAAATAATTGGAGAAACCCCATAAACGAAAAATTTCATAAGAGAACAGAACCTGCAGAAGGGGAAAGAAAAAAAATCTGAAACACAATCTGTTGGTTGTTGAAAGGTAGTTGTCAATCTATCGATCGTCTTCAGAATCTGTGTCCTAGCTTGCGCTTTCTTCAGGTCAGCTTCTCCTTCTTCACCCACCCATCTCTGGAATTCATTATCTTCATCTTTCTTATTTTGGAGCCGATTTGTGTTCCCCTGATATTTGTTTCATCTACTTTCTCATTCAAACAAACAATGTTAAAAAGGGCATTCAATATCTAGAACCATAAATGGTTAAATTAATTAGAATCAGATAACGACGTAGGCACATGAGAAAATGTTGTTGTTTGATGGGGTAAGCCTTTGCGCCAATATAGTAGCTAGCACAATCGGGATGCTAATGTGTATTACTTTTTTGTTCTCCATATGAAGTTGCCTACATAGCAGTATACAAAACCATTTTTGTTTGTCCCTTCACATTTGTCGTTGGTTTATTTTTTTGGATTGCTTAAACAAGAGTTGTATATTCGACGAGAAAATGTCGCCAAAAATAAAAATGAGTAGGTTGTATATATACAAGATATCATGAATGCAATTATTTTCTAAATGAATCATGTAAAAGAATGTACTTTAGTTGACATGAATTAGTGATGGCAGTTCCATTTCTTAATGTTATGATTAGAACAGTGATTGCCCTTGAGACGGGGAGTTCTTCTTGTAGTTTAAGGACATAGAGTTAATTATTGAAAACTAATTCTGGCTCATTATAAATCTCTATCTTTGTCTCTTATGTCACATCTTCAAACCATTGTGAAAAAATTGGAACATGATAGATATTTTACTCACGCAAATCAATGATAAATTGTCTAGAAAATGATTTGCAAGCTTCCAAATTTGATTTTATTTGCGTGAATTAAATATGAAATTACATAAAAGAGAAGGTATATTATGTAAATATTGGTTGTTTAACACGAGTAAGTACCATATTCCTTTTCTGAACATGATGTTACATTGAACCTAACTCTCTGATTGTATTTATAGTGCCTATCTATCATTCCATCAATGATAGTCCCTACATCGAACTCATTGTTTTTAACCTTTACTTTGTTTCAATTAGTGAATGCTAGAGAGTGAAGGCAAGCTAGATGTGCCTCAAGGAAACGTGTAATGACTACCAGTTCATCAGATTACCTAATGAGACAATTCAGCAGAGTCAACAGTGCCAAACAACTTCCAACTACTGACTGGGATTTCTCTCAACCAACTCCACTACTCGATTCTGATCATGACACCGAGGGTAAGCAAGCAAGCAACATCAGACCAAATAAACATAATTGCTGTTTTACTTAACCACTTTCTTAATCAATCTTTCTCACTGCTAATCAAATCTCATCATTCATTTCTTGTTCAATAGAGAGGAAGCTAGTTGTGCTGATAGAGTGGATTTCTACCATTCTACCTGATCTGAAACTCCAACCAAAAGCTTCAGTTGAAGAGCTGAGAGAATGCCTTAGTGATGGCACTGTTCTTCTGAAGATCTTGAAGAAAGTTAGGCCAGGATCTTTCACAGAAGATGTAAATCTCGTCACTTGGATTGCAGTGAATAACCAGGCAAGTTATGGAGTTACCTTTTCTGATCATGTTGGTAAATTTTCTGCCTTGCGAATAATGCAGGATGGAAGTTTGGAGGGTCGGAAAGCATCACCTCACCAGAATGTTCAACGATTTCTGGACAACATCAATGAAAGGGGGATCCCCAAGTTTGAGATTGCAGACTTGGAGAAGGTACCTTCAAACTATATGTAGCAAGTTAAAAAAATTTTACTGTAAATGTACCATGATTGGTAACTAGAGATGAATTATGGATTTACTATGTGTAAAAGGGTTCTCTTAAGAGAGTGGTGGATTGCCTGCTATCACTGAGAGTAAGGTACCCAACAGGAAGAAACAATGGCTTTCCAACGAGCGGCAGAATGACCAGAAGTGGGAGCCTAAGGGAGTTCTCTCCTTACCAGAGCCTTCATCTTGGTCCATTCTCATCGTCACTCTCATCGCCTGGAGCAGAAAGGCAATCACTCTCCTCTGACTCCAAGTTGCAGCAGTTCTTGCGTACTAGTCCTGCCCTTTCAGGTAAATTCAAGCTAGCTACTGGAAGAAACAGTTAAAACTGTAGCTTGTTTCTTCTTCTTGTTGTTTAATCTGCGTGTATCTTTCTGGGGATGATGTAGATTCATCTGCAGCGTGGATGCACCACGCTGGACACCGGTTCCATGAGGTGTTCCAAGTCAGACAAGGACGTTATGCTGACCTATCGCCTTCGAAGATATCAGAGATGATGAAATCTACCAGCTTGGATGTAATGCTTCTTCCTGCAGTCAATTTAGTTGATGTCACTAATCATGTACACATTATGATGTTATCATCATATCGTTGTCATTTGTGATTTGTTGTTATGTTATTATGCAGAATGCTCCTACTCAATCGTTGTTGAGTGTGGTGAATGGGATCTTGGACGAAAGCATCGACAGAAAGAATGGTGAAATCCCTCATGTATGCAAATGACACATCAATGTATATGTGTAAACATGATTTAAATAATATCAATACAATTAGTACATGTCTGGATAGTTGTTTAAATGGTGTGTCCCATTTTGTGGTTGAGCAGCGGGTGGCTTGCCTGCTAAGAAAGGTTGTTCAGGAGATTGAAAGGCGGATATCCACTCAAGCAGAACACCTGAGAACAGTAAGGCCTTATTTCTCTTATTGTTAACCCTAGTAAGGCTTCTGTCATTCTCCCTACTGATGAATCTTTGTTTGGTATGGTGTTAGCAAAACAACCTATTCAAGGCACGTGAGGAGAAGTATCAGTCGAGGATTAGGGTTCTTGAGACGCTTGCTTCTGGGACAGGTGAAGATACTGGGGTATGCCAGGCTCACCAATTTTACAATGTGTGGTACATAGTTTGAGGATACAAAACTATACATGCATTTGGGTAGCACGTTCATTTGTGTTCATAACTTGGCTTGTATAAATTTCTGTTGCAGATTGTCATGGATCAGCTTCCACCCATTAAGGTACAACTCTCTCAACTCCTCTAATTTCAAGTTTTCTGTTCAGATTTCATAATGCTAAGTAAAATCCTTGTAGGGTGTCAAGTTAAAGGTAGAAGAGAAGACCAAGGTGAATGACGAGATAGCGAAGCTGTTGAAAGAAAAGGAACAAGCAAGTCTTGAACTTGCTAGGCTACGCGAGGAGCTCGAAACAACGAAGACCGTATACGATGACATGGTCAAATTGTTAAAAGAAAAGGAGCATGCATACAACCAACCCTCATCGTCTTCACAACAAGAAAATGTCAACTGTGAGACGAAGAACACTCAAGTTTCATCTTTGCAACAAGAACTTGTAGAAGGGAAGAAAGAACTTAATCACCTAGTTCATTCAATGAGAGATGAGAACCAACAAATAAAGTATGAACAGAAGACAAATGCTGAGATTTTAGCCTTGCAACAAGAACTAACAGTGACAAAGAAGGAACTTAATGATATGGTTGATTCGACAAAAGAAAAGGACCAACTGAAACATGAACAGAAGACAAACACTGAGGTCATAGCCTTGCAGCAAGAACTAGCTGCAACAAAGAAGGAACTTAACGACGTGGTTACTTCTGTGAAGGAAAAGGACCAAAGGAAACTTGAAGTAGAAGCAACTATGAAGTCAAATGATGAGGTGGGCCGAGAAGCTAGTACTGCTGAAATAACTGGACGAGGAATAATTGTTGAACAAGAAGTTGAAACAAGGAGAGATGGAAATGGTGATGTGGTGGCTACATTAATGAAGGAGAAGGATCAAATGAGTCAAGAAATCACAACACTGAAGCAAGAACTCGAAAAGACAAGAAAAGGGCACGATTATGATAAGGCTAGATTGATGAAGGAGAAAGAGCAAATTAGTGTTCAACTCACAACTCTGCTGCAAGAACTCGAAAAATCCAGACAAGGACAAGGTGATGATGTGGTGAGATTGGTGAAGGAGAAAGACGAGATGAGTTTCAAAATCTCATCACTAAAGGAAGAACTTGAAACAACAAGACAAGAACATGATGAATTGGGGAGATTAATGAAGGAGAAAGACCAAGCAGGTCAAGATCAACTCTCAACGTTGCAGCAAGAACTTGAGACAATCAGAGAAGCACATAAGAATGCAGTGAAGTTGGAAGGAGAACTCAATTCAATGAGGAAAGCACGAAATGAGATGGCTAGCTTGTTAGAGGAGAAAGGACAAGCTAACCTGAAACTCGCTATGTCATTGCAAGAGCTAGAGGAAGCCAACAAGGCACAGGAACAAAAGTACTTGGAACTGGAAGCTGAGACAAAAACTGCAGCAGCTGGTTTCGATAGGAGGGTAAAAGAGCTTGAAACTTTCCTAGAAGATTCAAGGAATGAGCTGAAAGGTCTTAAAGCAACATTGGAGTCCAGACAACAGAGTTGGAGCAAGAAAGAGACCACCTTTCTCAAATCTGTCAACTTTCAGTTTCATGCACTGCATGTATGCTCTTTACTTACATTTTACTTTCCTTTCCCTTTCGCTCTCATTGAGAACTTCACTCACTGAACAAATCAAAACAAATATAATAGGAAATGAGATTTTCTTCCTCAAGCATCAAGGAAGAAGTCTTACAAGTGCAGCAAGACTATTCCGAGAAGTTTCATAGCCTAGGAGTGAAGTTCAAGGCATTGGTGGATGCAAGTGAGAACTATTACCTGGTTCTTGCTGAAAACAGGAAGCTATTCAATGAGCTCCAGGATCTAAGAGGTACTGATATTCTTCAACTATCCGATGAACGAATTCATTTGTTCATAATTATCTGTCATATCATATCATGTTTTGATTGTGCAGGGAACATTAGAGTGTACTGTCGAGTAAGGCCGTTCTTGCCAGGGCAAGCTGCAAACAAGTCTGTGGTTGAGCACATCAGTGACAAAGGAGAATTAGTAGTAGGGAATCCTGCTAAAACAGGAAAAGATGGTCGCAAAATGTTTAGGTTTAACAGAGTATATGGCCCACAAGCTACTCAAGGTTCTTCTTCTTCCCTAAACATATCCCTTTCATCTCTTCCTTTTTTGCTTTACTCAACTTGAACTCTATTGCAGCTGAGGTTTACTTGGACACACAACCCTTGGTGCAATCTGTATTAGATGGCTACAATGTCTGCATATTTGCCTATGGACAGACTGGGTCTGGCAAAACATACACAATGGTATACCGGTTTTTGTTCTTTCTTCTCCATTCAATCTCTTAGCTTATTCAATCTAGTAAGTAAAAGCTAACATGCAGAGGTTTGATTTACCTGCAGTTGGGTCCAAATGGAGCACAAGAAGAAGAATGGGGAGTGAACTACAGAGCTCTAAAGGATCTCTTCAACATGTCAAAGAACAGAAGTGACTCCATTTCTTACGAGGTTGGAGTCCAGATGGTGGAAATCTACAACGAGCAAGTCAGAGACTTGCTAACCAATGACGCCCAGAAGAAATATCCTTCTTTTTTCTTCTTTTTGCCCTGCATTCTTCATTTTTAATTTACTTTCTCAATTTTGTTTGTGGTCCTTGATTCAATTCTTCCCCCCACACGCTCGGGATCCTAACTACACCATCAAGCAACGGGATCGCCGTCCCCGACGCGACGATGCTGCCGGTCGCGTCAACTTCCGACGTGATGGACTTGATGCACATTGGCTTGAGCAATAGAACCGTCAGCGCGACGGCGATGAACGAGAGAAGCAGCCGCTCCCACAGCGTCCTCAGCGTCCACGTTCGCGGGAAAGATTTGCAAGCCGGGACTACTCTATTTGGGAATCTCCATTTGGTCGATTTGGCTGGAAGCGAGAGGGTTGACCGATCAGAAGTCACCGGAGACCGGCTGAAGGAGGCTCAACATATTAACAAATCGCTCTCTGCTTTGGGAGACGTCATTTTCGCTCTTGCTCAGAAATCTACCCATGTTCCTTACAGGAATAGCAAGCTCACCCAGCTACTCCAAAGCTCTCTCGGTAAGAACTTTGATTTCAAATTTGATCAGTGGAAAAGGCCAAAGGGTTTATCTTTGACCTAATTATTGTCGTCGCCATAGGTGGACAAGCAAAGACCTTGATGTTCATCCAGTTGAACCCCGATGCGACGTCGTATTCAGAGAGCCTAAGCACCCTAAAGTTTGCAGAAAGGGTTACAGGGATCGAGCTAGGTGCGGCGAAGAGCAATCCGGGAAGAGACGTTAAAGAGCTAATGGAGCAGGTTTGGTTAACAATTCCACCATAAGCTTATGAATTCAGTGATCAATGCATGTGTTAATCTAGGGGGGGATTTCTGTTTGTAGTTGGCGTCTTTGAAAGACACGATTGCGAACAAGGACGAAGAGATAGAGAGGCTGCAAGTGTTCAAAGGGCACCCGAGCATTGTGGAGAAGCCTCCGGCGAGGCTTCACACGAGGAAGTCGGCTTCAGGGGAGAGAGGGTTAGGGCTGACGGAGACTACAGCTTCATCAGATCACAGTGACGTTTCCGACGGTGAAGCTTCTGTTGGGACGGAGCCGGAATCCACCGCTGAGGATACCGGGAAACCACTCGCCGACAAGCCTGGAGAAAAGTAAGATTTTTACCGTTAATTTAATCTTCTTTCCAATTTCCAATATGGGAGTTCATTAATTGTTGTCTTTGTGGTGCAGCAGGCGTGGTGCTAGGATGACGAAGGCCCGGAGCCTGCAGAAGCTGTCGGACGCTAGACCGTCGACGACGGTGACGGTGTCCAGAGACCCTCTGAAAGGATCAACAAGTAAATCATGTTCTGAATCTAGTGATAAGATTTCAGGAATGTGATTTGTACGAAATCAGGAACCATTGTTACTATATGATTATTGTTGTGATCCTGTTTCAGGTGTTAAGAAAAGTACTATAGGCAGCAGTGCCTCCGGTGGGAGCTCTTCCTTGCAACGACCGAGCAGTGCGAGTTCCAGCAGATCGCGGCGAGCATAAAAATGGAATAAGATAGCAACTAACCACCAAATCATTTACTGATTGACCCCATTTCCTGACCATTTTAGGGGATTGCAGTGTAGAGCACATGCTTATGGTTGGGTTGTGGCATATGTAATGTGTAAAGTTTTGCTAGGCTTCCTAATTTCTTTTGGGTTAGGGTTCTTAGCTTTGTAATAATTTGCTCCACATTGGTGGGGAGTGTGAAGTTGAAGGCAACATGAACTGGTCTCATCTGGTCTGTAGATTTGGCTAGAAAAGGATGTAAATTTTGTTTTTCCGGGAGGTGTGAAAGATCACATGTAAATTTATCAATGTACAAATTTCTAAGCTTGTACATTTCATAACCTTACATTATTGTATTCATAATTGTCTTTTACAATTCAAGCCATCAAGTGAATTGTGTGACATTAGGGTAAGGAGTATCTTCGTAAATCTCGCTACATTCACATAAATTTCAAGAACGCCCCCAAAGCGAAGCTCTAATCTCTTTCTATGATTTAGTTATTTGCCCTTATTTTGTTTTAGATGAATCAACCGCCTCTTGCTTGAGACTTGATAGATCATTTTGATCTCCTTTATCCCTGAGTAATGGAGATGCTCATAGAGTCCACCTTACATAAACTCAATTTACTTCTCAACACTCAAAATCGAATGTCAACATCACCCATAATTAGGCGGTGGGTGAAAGGATCTCCTCTCAGAACTTGAGAGTTTCATATAGACTGAACGACAAATTAAGGTTTGCTTCAAACCCTTATGGCTTACGATTATCATCGGTGTTGATTGTACAAAAGTGAGAGTTGTGGGAGTTGGTTATGTGTATAGAGAGTTGTTCCTAAACACTTTTGGATTGCTTTCCGATAGTGAGAAAGGAGTACCTCGTGTTCCTGTAAACAAGATAGGGTTTTCTCGCAGTTACAATGCATAACAAAACAACCTACGAAAGAAAGTATGAACACACATCATTTCGTTTTATGAGTTTTCCATTGCAATTTTCTACCATGGCGAATAAAAGTTTTTCTTAGAGGAGATGAATGAAAACACTGGGACCATCAAGAGATGCAATAATATTGACCTAACCCACGTAGAAAAATTTAAAGGTCTCAGAACTGAAGTAGTAGAAAAAAGAGAATAAAATTCACCATCACTTAAGACTTTGAAATCAACTTCATTAGAGAGGATGTTTTTTGTTCATAAGGCGTGTAGTCTACACTCTACCTTTTCCTACCAAAATTCTTTGCTTCATGTATTTGGTGTATGATTGAGACTATTGGTAGAAAACAACCTCTCTCTAACTTTACCTTTTTCAAATTTACTCTCCCTTCTCTCTAGAAAGCCTCCTTTTCCAGCCTTCAATGGCTGCCGCCGGCTACTTCAGGTGACCGGCGGCAGCCCAAGTTTCTCTTTTTTTATCGCTTTTCTTGCTTGCTTGCTTTCGATCTTCTGGCCTTTGCTTCTAGGCTTTTCACCTTCAAGATTTCAGTCTCTCCAGCCATTTTGGCATTCCAGATCTAGGATTTTGCAGATTCAAGGCTTGCTCGTTTGAGGATCTGGAGGTTGCAGCTTGGGAAGCTTGACCTTTGCTTTGTGATGGTTGTTCTTTCCAGGTTGGTGGTCTCATCTGCAAGGTGAAGCCATTCTCATCTTCCCCCCTCTGGCTTCCCCAAGGTGGTGTTGTTGCTTGGATGGTTGTCGGATCGTGAAGAGGTGAGTCATCTCCGTCTGCTGCGGTGGAAGTCGGTTCTTTTGGGGTGGTCTGTGGATCTACTTGGAAGCTTGCTCCCCTTTGAACCGATCCTCTCTACCTTGGCCCCCTCTGCCTTCACAGCTTGGAGCATTCTGTTTCACAGCCTCTTCCACCGTCGGGCAATCTCTTTGAGATTCACTGTGATGGATGACTTTGTGCACTCCCCAGGAGACGGCAAATGGCTTGCTAAGTCCAATGCCATGGATCTCGCTGTGATCGGACAAGCTGTTCTGATCTTCTTGCTCTTTGTTGGTTGGAAGAAAGAGGGATTATAAATGCTCTGCCTTTGCTTCAAGAACTTGGTTGTTTGTTTTGAGTGATGTCATTCTGTGCTGTGCTTCCACTGGTTGTATTTTCTTAGCATGGTTTGGTATCCTCCTGTGTTCCATTGTTTCCTTGATCTTGTGTTGAAGTCAAGTTTTTATTTTTTCTTTGTAACCAATTATTCAAAGTGCAATAAAGATCCTTTGTCAAAAAAAAAAAATGTATTTGGTGTATGGTGTTCCACGTTACCATAAACACAATTAACAAACTCAAACGATAAGCAAGTGTGGCAAGACTAATATTTTCTTGATACGTTGTTGCAACTTGCAAGTAATAACACTAAATTCGTTGGAACGTTTTCGAGAACTACCACCGAACTTAGACAACACCGTGACAATGTTCGATCGATATGTGTTCACAGTTCATCTCTATTGCATTTTTTTGCCTCCATTCTCACACTGTTTGTGTGTCTAAACCTCCCCTTTCAAGGTCAATCATCTAATCTTCACCACCTAACTCATAAAGGAGCGTTTTTTTTTTTTGCGAGTGAATATAAAGAAAGCATCAGTCTCTCTCCACGCCATACTCATCCTTTTTTGGTAAGCCTTTTGCCACCACAATAGCCGCCCGCTAATTTTGGTTCCCAACGCTTGGCAACAATGGCATGGCGTTGGAACAAACAATGCGCCAGAAATATTTTCTTCTTCCATAGTTGGAAACCGGAATCAGTGGATTCTATAAAGAACAACCACTTTCCCATACAGAGGAATGACCTTCTTTCTTGTATCTACCACTTGTACATTAGCTCCAATTTCATAGAACTAATCACTATCAATGAAGCATGGTTAAGGGTGTCATATCACGAAAGAAGATCGTCATTTGAACTGATATGATATACATACATAACCAAGCAATTTAACGCGGTTAAACTAGCAGCCCACAGTATATCTGGTGTCTTTTCACTCACATTACACTGATTATAAAGAGATATATCACTTGGATTCCATTCCCTAACATATCCAGTGCGATATCTACCGTTTGGTGAACATTGCACGAGACTATACGAAATCAAAATTCAGGAGTATTAATTGTGTAATGTAAGTAATGAATGAACGGAACCACAATGTTGTATCATTATCATCAGAATCATCAAAATCAGATTAGGGGGAACATATAATCATAACATGTTTGTTGCAAAAACACAACAAATTTCAAAACTTTCTTACAATTTTCTCAAATGACCAATCAAAATATCTCATACTAAAGGGAAAAAAGGTTCTACAATTAGGAAAACATCTCATATGGAAACAGAGGACATATAAACTGATCTGATCTATTGACAAAATGTACCTATTCATCATCACCATCACCAAGGAAAAGAGGGGAGAGACACCATTTGGAACTCTCCCCAAACCCTAGCTAGAGCTATTTATTACTTCCTCCATAACTCAACACCATCCGATGTAGCTTCATCTTCATCTGTTCTTCGCAACAATCGATCCTTCTAACGTAATCGCAAAGGTCGCGGATCAAACAG